TTCAGCAGGTGTTGTCTCTGAGCTTACTGAATGTGATACATGCATGAAAACATCACTGTAAATTACTTTTCTTTCCTGCTGTGTCTGAGCAAACAGATGAGAAACTCATGGAGGGAAGACTTCATCCTCCTTCAGTATCAGAGAGGTGCCTTTCAAAACTGCAGTGAAATTAAGAACTGATTTCTACAGGTTGTTTGGATTGCCAAACTGTGCTTCTCAAGCATAAGTGCTTTTTCTTTCTCATCTTTCTCATGATTATGGTGGGTTACTGCTGCACTTCACCACCTCTGTGAGCTCTGATGATTGCTAAGTCAGATGCTTGAGGAAACAGGCATTTACTTTATCTATAGAAACTTAATGCAAGAAAAATCCAGGGTCTTGGAACAGCACATTTTTTTGTCAGTCCCACTTCTGCCTGATCAATTTGGGATTTGTCTTCAGGCTGCTAAACATCTTTCCCTGTGGATTCAGCATCCTTACAAGGTAAATTGGAGACAGTAAGGCAGAGGAAAGGGGCAGCACCAAAACTCCTAGAGGAATGGGCTAATGGACACTCCTGTGGCTGTGGCCTGTACTAGAGTTGTGATTCCAAGACAGGTCACCAGTCTCACAGGCACAGGCTCCTGCAGGGCTGTACAGACCTGCTGGGCACTGGGTGTGCTGCAGGAAGAACAGAAGAACAGCAAGTTCTTGCTCACTGCTTTGCACCAGCTTGTCCTGTTCTGCTGACTGATCCACTGACTGATCAGCCTTATGTTCTTCAGCAGCTGCTGTATTTTCTACCTCATCCAGCTTTTGTTCCATATGTTTTTTTTCCTGAGAACAAAATACTCTTTACTATTTCTTTGTGATGAGGATAATAAAAAGATTTCTTGATCTGTGTGCTGGTACACAGAATCGAGAAGTATCTTAGAGCATTTTCATGTTTCAGGATGAGTAGTGGTTTAGTGTCTTTTCTCTGCATCCTTGAGATGTGAGATCCCACAGAAGGATCTGTCTATATAAATATGCATCTTCCAACAATGCTTTTTACCCCAACATAGTGGTTTTAAAATGGGAGAACTGGATTATAGAGAAGCAGTTCTCAAATCTGAGGATTAAAATGGGAGAACTGGATTATAGAGAGCAGCATAAGACAAAGATACAATGCATACATCCATCTACTCTGCCTTTTACACACACACACACACACACATACATACACACATACATACAGATATCTTTATAAAAATTCCTTCCTCCAGGCATGTCCAGAGATGTAATGTCTGCAATAATGACAACCTTGATGTAATAGAAATTATTTCGTAATGATCCTCCTACATGTATTTTTCCTTTGTTCTGTTCCCAGTTTCTTACTGCTAGTTCAGGTTTTAAAGAAAAGCCCTTAAAAAAAAAACCAACTCTACTGATCATTAGGCTTTGAGGCTGAACATGCCCTTTCATGCTAGACTCATAACCATGACAGTGGTAGACTTATTTCCCCCCAGGTATTTCAAGTATTTTCCTGGCACACAGCTCATGCTGACAGTGAAGCATTCTCAGGTGAACCTGAACTTCCCTGAAGCACTTGCAGAGGAAGTTAATTTCTTGACTTCTGGCCATGGATCCAGAGCTCCCCAAAACAATTAGTGGTGAGACGTGAGCATGATATACACCAAAGAAAACGCACACTCCTACATATACTAGGAAGTATTCAAATTCAATCTGTGCTTGGCTTAAAATTAGAAGCCTCAAGACCCTGATTTAAAGTTACATTGTGGCAACGTTCTTTATTCAGTCACCACCAGATGGAGTAACAGCTCAGGAAACAGGACCTTAATCTCTGAGGAACAGACGGGTCTAACTGAAATACTGATTGAACAATCAGGAACCTGTTTTCGACTTCCACCAGTGCTACAAACCTTCTTGCTGCCTGTGGGCAAGCCTAAAAGTTAGGACTGTAGTCCAAGCTAACAATTTATCCAGTTCTTAAGTATCTGAAAGTTGGTAGAATGAAACAAGGACCTTCAGTTACCTCTTCTCTTGTGTTTGAGTTGCGATTTTTTTTCTAAGAGATGAAAGGAATTTCCTCAGATATATTGTGTGCAGTAACTGAAGGAAACAGCAAATTTCAAATTTTATTGTGCTCTTCATGCAGAGTTCATACAGAACAGACATGTTAACACCTGTAGCCTCTTGAAACAGTTTCATGTCTGTACTGCATTTCCCCATCAGCCTGACTTTACCTCTCCCTCACCTGTCTTTTGCTGAGATGGGAAACAGGAGTCCCATTATAGCATTTGTCAAAGAACAAAGAACGGGTGGCTTGAAGACAACAGGGAAGAACACACATTCTTTCAGGCTATTTTTGGTAAGTTTTTCCAATACTAGGATTAAACCACACCTCTTTTTGCTGAAGTATATATTAAAGAGTTCAAAGGTTTTGGAAAATATTAAACTCTTCTTTAAATTCTTTTGCAACGATTCTAACTCTACTAGTTCTGTATCTTCTAGAAGCACCACAATAAAAACAGTGTTTCCCTCTTTTTTTAGTCTAGAACTAGGCAACTCCAGGAAGAAAACACCCTAATGAAATGAATATGCAATTTGTATGTTCACTTGAGCTTTATGCATCTGTGTGTTGACAAAGAGGCTTTTTTAGTCTTGTTGTGTATCTTCAAGATATTATTAACCTTAAAAGCAGATGAGGCTGGCTGCTATAAAGGAGACTTTTTCTCCCCATGGCTTGTTACAATTCTACTTCTACAACTTTTTCCCTCCATTAACACTTTGAATCCAATTTCAGGTCCATCCAGTTCCTCAAGGCAAAGCTGCTGGAACATTTATCTGCATTTTAAGAGGACAGTCTTCAGTACATCCATAAGTGAATACAGAAATTAAAGCTGACCCTGTGTTAGGCCTCTCTCCAGTCAAGCCCCACCACCCTTCCCTTCCTTCTTCTTAA